AGATAGGTTGTCTTCCTAGGTGACGATTGCGGGTTTCTGTTTAGATTTACTAGGAGTATTAGCGAAGTGAGGATCCGTGAGTGATCTTCGAGTGTTTGACGATCTGTGGGAACCCTCCCATCAATCGTGCAGAGAGCCCCATCAGCTGTGCCGCGAAGCCCTCAAAACAGGACGTAGCCTACACTTAGTTAAGGATAGGCGAACCACGGTATATGTGTGTTGATAGCTTTGCGGGTGCTTGGTTGATCTGTGCGTTTGAGATTAGAGTTAAGAGTAATCTATTAAAGATCATAAACAATTTCCTCGTGTAGGCACGATCATATACATACGTCATATGTTCATGATGCCTCACATTTGGGCACAATAGAATATCAAAACTATTCTCGTACGCCATCCGCCCCCCTTGAACCGAGGACACATTAAATGATTTCTCTTTAGGTAAGATTCTCGTTTTCCTCTCCTAATATATCCTTCAACTGATATACTTTCTCAACTCATATGCAACCTCTTCCACAAGAACTCCACGACCCATTTTTTAGACCTCTACAGGCCCAAGAAAGAGTATGCTGTAATCCCATCTGACAAGCTTCCAAAATGGTCAAATTTTCCCGTTGTCCGCATGTTCTAACCTTTCCATAAGACAGCCTAGACGTCCTTGGTTTCAACATGCCGCACAAATTTCAACTTAATTTATTCCACTTTCAAGCTAAATGTCGCCTCCAAAATACTAGTGGATAACTATGATCTAGACTGACATCTGGACTGCCAACCTTTAAAGCTCAAACCTTGAAGGCGGCTTTTAATCCTTTCCCTTGACAACAAGGTTTGTAGCATGCTGTCGCGTTATACTTAGTAGCGACCAATTATGATAAATCATTTAATTGAATTTATAAAGTAATTTGAATAAACAAATATATGCAGGAGAACTATCATGCTCCCCCCCATTTGTCTAAGCTCTAGCTGGTGGATATTTTAAAAAAATATGCTATACATGGAATCAATAATGTGTTGGTATAATGAATGAAGGGATGGGATAGTTTTATTATTATTAGTATTAAGTCTTTCATGTGTTGTGAGGACAGTGGATGAGGTGAACGAGGTGTTGTGGAGGCCCCGAATATAAGAGAAGATCTAAAAGAGTTTCACAGTGTCACAATTTTTATTATTTATGGATATCAATTCCAAAATTATAATATATAATAAAAATCTATTTAGTTGGTCTTAGTTATTTGTCATTCACGAACCTAATAGCAAATATTAAAAGTAAGAAAAAAACACGTTTCTCTTAAGATTCCTGTGTGAACACATGGTTGTCAAAGTCATACATAGAATAAAGGGCTAGACAACTTTGATAAGTAGAAAAACATGGAACGACTAAATACAAAGAAATCAGTTAATAATTGTAATAGACAATGCCACAACATTGTTCTGTTGTACTTTTTCGCAAATTTTTTCACCCAAGAGTGAGTGAAGGAAGAGATCCAAATAGGAGAATCATGGTTTATAGCAATTGAAGCGCTTTATGTGTTTGCCCATCGCTTCAACACCTTATTGATCTTTGCATACTCTTCTCCAGACAACCTTCAGAGCTTGTACTCATTGTTTGGGCGTAAGATACTAGACTTTTTATACTAGTACTTTTTTCAGATTTTATTTTATATTTTTATATAATTTAGAAAGAATTGATGCATCAGTTTCAAATAAGGGAATATTACGAAAAAGTTAGCATCAAATTGGTGTTGAGATTTCAATATTTAGTCTCCTAAAGCTGTCCATTTCGTTTCCCCCTTACTATGCCAAGTGTTGAGTCTAAACTCTCCAAGGCTAATTAAACTCCCAGGGTGCGTGCACTACATTGTTACTTGGGATCTGTGTAATGTATTTTAATTTTTTGTTTGCTCTCTATAAAGTATTTGTTCATGTGTCTAAAATGAATTACTGTAGATCATACTCTTGTGTTTCAAATATTTTGGTATATATATTTATCAGTATTTTCGAAAAAATTCAATATTTATTTACTTTGACGGATATATTTTACAATTCAATCAATGGGGATTCGGATACTTCTTCTGGAGCAATTACGTCTCACTGCAAAAAATAAGATCTGGATCATTGTTAGTTCGCGTCTACATATAGGTGTTTTTTTTACTCTTTCTTGGATTTTATATTCTTAATTTATATTCTTTGATATTAGTAAATTGACTATCTTTACAAGTAGATCTCTATAGCTGGGCATGTAGCCACAATCTAGTTGAAGAATTATGATATTTGTACTCTTTCAAACGTGTTTCCTCAGCTGGCTGCGAGGTCCAGATTTGAACTCCAACGGCTAACGTAAAAGGTAGAAGTCCGTGCTATTGCTAATTGTAATTGTAATTGTAATTTGTATTGTAATTAGTTTATATATCATTTTCCAAATATATGTTTAGATATTACTTGTTTGAAATTAATGAACTATTGTAGTTAATTATTCATTAATACATCGACTTATCTTTAGTTCTCAATTACTAGTAATTATTTCTAAATACAAGCCTTTTTGATTGCACGTAAGATATGTCACTTATATCTGTCTACTAACAGAACTGAAAAGCATCTTTTCAGTACTGTGCTGGCTATGGTGTCTTTGTCTTCCTACAACAATCATTCTCAAGTATGGAGCTGACAGTTTTCTTAGTTTCAGAGGCGAGGCACACCGCAATGGTCATACGCCATCTCTATTTGGGCTTGTGTCGTAAAAGATTTAGTACCTTCATGACTCCGACAAATTGTGCAGAGAAGAGATTAATTCATATCTTCTTTTGATACCATTAAAGCGTCAAAGATTTCGTTATATTTTTTTCTTCAAAACTTATGCAACTTCTAGATGGTGCCCCCAAGAAACTCGAACAAATCCCCTCCATTGCAAGAAAATAGCATTGAGCAGTATTTTTGTTATACCGTTGTCATACGGACAGTCTCCAAGCTAGGAGGAATACAACTGGGATGTTGTGGGAGCGATTTGCTGAGTGCAAAACATTACTAGCCGGTCAGGGTAGAGTATGCTGAAGAGATGGAAGGACTGTTGGAATGACCAGGATGTCGTCTAGTGCTGGGCTGGATATTATATGATTCCAAAGTAAGTTTTAATTCATAATATTAGCTTTTTGTAAATTCTTTTATGTCTTAAATCATTTCCTAACGCTTGAATGAATCTGAAACCTAAAATCAACATAATTTTAACTACAAAAGTTTGTTTTGTGTTGTTTTATTTAGGGTCTGAATCTAATACCTTAGATGAATACTTGTGGACGATATAGTTTGATGAGGACTAAACTAATTATAACTCCAAGAGTTATACGGACTGTTGGATAGAATTTGCCAGAAGAAAAGAATGAGTGGCTTGTTGCACAAGGATAAGTGGCGTTTGTCCAAATAGAATTTGTGGCATACGCGGTGTGTGGCAAGACAGACTATTGCCCGTAGTGTCATTCAAACAAACTTTTAGTCATTTTGAAGGTGATCTATTTGTGAACAAGTTAGGGAGAGTCGGAGGAATAGTAAGCGGTTACTCACTTGAAAAAAGGCATACTCTCTTTCCACAATATTACGAGGTAGGAGATCCCCAACCATATAGGACTTAACTTACAATGAAAATAGACTCTAAAGATTTAAAAGGTTTTCATTGTGTTTGATGATGGACAACTTTACAGCAAATAGAAAAATTTGATTGGAAATCGTACATTGGCGGAGTTCAAAAAGTCAAATTCTACTAACACCAAAAGGAAACAAGTTGTTGAGAAATTGTTTGGGTAGTAGATGATGCTATATATCATGAGGTCAGGACTACCCAGGAGGCTGGTAGGGAGCTCATCAACTTTTGTAACGGATGCCTTTAAACATTTTTACTTGCTCATAGAGATATATGGAGCCTACGAACAAAGCAATTTCACTATATACCAAATGTCTCCTGTTGCGCTTGTAAAGTGTTGGGCGCTATTTGTTTTCCAGGGAAAGAATTTTGGAGAATAGGCATAATAAGAAACTAGGAAAAGGTCTTCCTTGGTAGTCATAAGGGATAAGGTTAGTATGATGGTACTGAGAAGAGAGGATTTATTTTGAACTTTGCCTGTTCTTTCAAAGGGGGATCATATAGATTCAGTGATAGAAATCCTAAATGCTTGTGACATTTCGTGCAAAGATTGGAATACTCACGTTCGTATGACAGTTGTCTAGTGTTTGTGAATACTACAATAAAAAACAAGCTATGATTTGCTTCAAGAATAGGGTGGGGAAATTGTCGGGATGATAGTTGCAAACACAGTTCGACTATGTCATCATCGGTATCTTCAAAGCATTTAAAAAAAGAAGGTAAGGGTAGTTGTACTATATCATAGTAGGACAGAGAACTTTGAAGCTGAGCTTACTTTAAACCACATTTAAATAACGTCTGGTTTAACGGATATAATAATGAGATCATGGTATCTTTTTTTATTTTATTTTCTTAATCAAGTTTCCACGCTACCAGACTTGCCAAAAAAGAAACATGTTTTTTATTATCAGTTATGTTGTATTTTACTTATAAGTCAAAATTCATATATTACATTTTTTCTTGTGGTAAATTGTTATTGCATACAATAATTATTAATTATTTCCTTTCTTCAATTCAAAGGGAAAGCTTAAAACCTATAAAAAAAATATATTAAATAATAGCCTTACTTTGATTAGACTATTCGTAATTATTGGGTATGTGATCCTATTATTCAATCTCTACTATACGAAATTCGGATCTTTATTTGTTTTTAGTCAACTCATGTTTCTATTCACTAGAGATTTGTTGTAATTGATTACAATTTATTTTTAACAAAAAAATAAATTATATCTTAACTTACGGATGAAGCTTCAAATTAATTTGATTAGGTTAAACATGTAGGTTACAACGATTACTTATTAATTAGTTTGATTAATGGGAGTATTCTCTTGCTTTATTGCTCTACCGATATCTTGATGGAACTGGCTGTTAGGGAACTGAAGCAGTACGAAGCATAAACTTGGACATATCTAAAATAAGCAATGCAGGCTTAAATTGTCATGTTTTGTCAAAGATGGATAACTTAAGATTCTTCAGAGTATACAACTCAAAATACGAAGATGGCTATGAAGACTGGCAAGACCAAGATAATTCTGAAGCTAAGTTGGATGGTTTTGAAGAACTTGAATCCTTTCCCGATGACATTACATTCTTTGGTTGGAATAATTACCCATTTAAATCGTTGCCATTAAGTTTTCCTTCAGAGAGTCTTGTTAAACTTGTTATGCAAAACAACAAAGTTAAACATTGGAACGGTTTTCAGGTAAGTATATATTTTGGTATTTATACTGTTGTCTTTCTGTTGAAAATTATAAAAATACAAGGTACTAATATGAGTTGGTCATTTTGTTTGTTTTCTTACAGAATCTTGTAAATTTGAAATATGTTGATCTCAGTTTCTCCGAGCACATGACAGAGATTCCAAATCTCTCAAGAGCCTCAAATCTTCAGTATTTGATTTTAATATTTTGTTCGTCGCTTGAGAGTCTCTCAAGCAACATCTGTAAGTTGAAATATCTCAAACAGCTTAATCTTTTCGGCTGCATCAAATTGGAGAGATTACCCGATGACTTTGGAGACTTAGAAGCTTTGGAGGATCTCAATACTGGAGAAACAATCATAAAAGAAGTACCTTCATCCATTTTACACTTGCCAAAACTTCGTAGATTACAACTATGTCGAGATGAACCGGCACCCTTGAATTGGGTATTGAATTCTTTGTCAGGTTCAAACTCTTTGGTATCTCTTAATTTGTCAAACTGTCAAATGACCAAATTACCTGACAATCTTGGACAATTATTCTTTCTAGAAAACTTATTTCTACGTGAAAATAATTTTGAGAGCATACCAGAAAACATCAAAAGGCTTTCTAAATTGAGATTGCTAGACATAAGTAATTGTCGGAGACTTCAACTTTTGCCAGAGTTTCCAATGGGTGTAGATGTGATAGCATTTGACTGCTCATCCTTGCAATCAATATCAGATCCATCATTTCTATTGTTACCTCATTTGAGACGACGGGAAACAACTTTTGCCAATTGTTTTAAATTGGATTTATGTAAAACTCTTCATAAGGTATCTCTTTTTATCCTTTCTCCCTTTTTATAATGTTAGTTGTTTTTTAAAAGTAACAATATATGTATATATATATAAAGCTAAAACTATGTTATGATGTGATGATTTTCATTTTCATTGGTACAGGAATCTTGTCGAGAATTTTGTGCTAGTATCTGTTTCCCTGGAGATGAAATTCTTAAGTGGTTTACCTTTCAAAATACGGGACCTTATATAACTCTCGATTAGTCACTAGATTGGCATAATAAAAACTTTCTAGGTTTTCTTGCATCTATTGTTGTTTCTCCAAATAAGGACAATCTGGTTCCTTCTTACATTGTTACCTGTTATTGCTTGGTGAAAAGTGAAAATGGTAAGGAGCAGATTTATAGAATTAGAACTAGAACTAGATTTCCTATGTTTGCGCATATCTAGTCAGATCATGTATTATTCGGTTTTCATTCTATAACGAAATTGGTGTTTAAAGAGTGTCAATATTATTGGCAACATGATAGAATTCGTCATAAGATGATGTCATCAAATTGTAAAGTGCTCATCAAATNTAAGCCTCACATCCAACCATATAAAACAGTCTAAAAATTGGGTTTAGAGGATAGATCACAAAACACTTTTCTCTCTCCTGTATATGACTTTTGCCATTGTTAGAGCTAAGGTTCTTTGTTATATTTCTTTGTAAAATCTGTTGTGATCAAGTGAGGATTTCTTTGTAAATCACTCATAGAGGGTCTGTTTACTCTCGAGCTAGGGATACCAAGATAGAGTTTCTAGGGTAAAGATTGCAGTTCTGTTTAGATTTACTGAGGGAGTTTGAGCGAATTGAGGAGTGAGGAGTGAGTGAATCTTGATTGTGTTTGTAATTGGATCTGTGGAATCAATTAGTGCAGAGAGCCCTATCAGTTATAGAGCTCAACGTGGACGTAGCCTATTCATTCTTGAATAGGTGAACCATGGTATATTGTGTGTCTGATTTCTTTGTGGTTGCTTGGTTTGATCTTTGTGTCTAACTGATTAGATTTAAAGCAGATTTCTTATTAAAGAATAATAACGATGGTATTAGAGCCTTAATTTCTAAGGTTTTGTGTCGATCAAATTGATTTTCTTGGAATTTAGGGTTCGTAGAAAATTGGGGGTTTCTTGATCTTTGTGTTCCTTAGTACTTAAGGATTATTAGATCTTAAATTTAAGTCAAGATTTCTTCAATTTAGTGGTTCTATTGAAAATCTAGGGTTTCGTCGAAATCTGTTTTTGGGGATTCTTTAATCTGTCTATTCCTAGATAATCTAGGGTCTATATTTCATTCAAATACCGCATCAATTCCCAAACACTACACCATGAGTATCATACAAATGGAGATTTCCCAATATGATGGGAAAATCGATTTCAGTAGTTGGAAAAAGAAGATGAAAGCACTGTTGTCCCATAACAAAGTTGCGATTGCTCTAGAAAAGGATGTTACCAAGTGGCCAAAGGAAAAATTGAAGAAAAAGGCTAAAGTTGATGAGGAAGTGCACAACCTTATCGTGATGAACCTGTCTGACAACGTGCTGAGAAAGGTAGACGACATAAATACACCTCTCACCTTATGGGGTAAACGCAAAACACTTTATCCATTCCAGTTTGCTCCAAACCTAGTTTTCTTAAAGGGTGCATTGTTTTCTTACAAAATAGATAACTCTAAGTCTTTAGAAGATAATCTGGACAAATTTTTGAAGATGACTTTAATTTTAAAAGGAACAGACCAAGAATTAGGGGACACTAGCTTAGCTATGATCCTGCTTAATTCCTTAACTGATGAGTACCAAGTTTTCAAAAATGCACTTCAATATACTGGTATTGTGCCTAGTCTTGACCTGATAATTGATGGATTAAAGGCTAGGGAGTTAGAATTAAAGGTCGAAAAGAGAAATGGAAATAATTTGTTTGTGAAGGGTAGATCAGACTTAGGTCAATCTGTAAATGGAATGCATCGTAGTAATGGCCCAAAGAATAAGAAAAAGGGGAAGGGTTATGGTAAAACAAGAGGGGAGACCAGAAATCGTTTTCACTGCAATAAGATTGAACATTTAAAGAAAAATTGTTTCGAGTAGATTAAGAAGCAAAAACAAGGAAACATTTAGAGTAATGTAGCCTCCACTAGTGATAGCATTGTTGTCTCAGATGTCCTCACAATGTCTAAGTCGGACCAGATCCAAGAGTGGGTCCTAGATTCAGGTTGTTCCTTCCATATGAGCCCAAATAAGGAGTGGTTTCAAGAGTTTAGAGATGATGAACATGAGACTGTCTTTATGGGGAACAATAATGCTTGTAAGGTTAGAGGAATAGGTAACATAACCTTAAAACTGGAAGATGGTAAACTGATAATGCTGTCTAAGGTTAGGTTCATTCTTGAACTAAAAAGAAACCTAATATCCGTAGGAACTTTAGATGAAGTTGGCTATTGTTATAAGGCAGAAAATGGTTGCATCAATGTATACAGGAATAACAACATAGTGCTGAGAGGTTTAAAAAGAAATGGCTTGTACATTTTGTATGTAAATTATTACTGTGATAAGAACAATAGTGCACCGATTTCATCAAAATTAAGTGTGACACAAAAATGGCATATGAGGTTAGGACACATGAGTAGAAAAGGCCTAAACATCTTAGGTCAAAAGGGACTGTTTGGTAGAGACAATATAACACCTTTGGACTTTTGTGAAACATGTGTGCTAGGTAAGCAACATAGGGGCAGTTTCACAAAAGGAGTTCACCTAGCTACAAACTGCCTATATTACCTTCATGCTGACTTATGGGGACCTGAACAGGTTAGGTCCCATGGAAGGAATAGCTACTTTCTCTCCATAGTGGATGATTTTAGTAAAAAAGTCTGGGTATACCTTCTAAAATCAAAAGATGAGGCCCTCACTAAATTCAAAAGCTGGAAATTGTTAGTAGAAAACCAAATTGATAGGAAGGTGAAGGCTCTTAGAACAGACAATGGGTTGGAATTCTGTAATGTAGAATTTGATAAGTTCTGTAATGACCAGGGAATCCTAAGACATAGGACTATAAGGAGAACCCCTCAGCAAAATGGAGTTGCTGATAGAATGAATGGAACCCTCTTGGAAAAGGTGAGATGTCTCATGTTTACATCTGGACTGCCTAAATCCTTCTGGGGAAAAGCCCTAACAACTGCAACATACCTAATAAACATAAGCCCTTCAACTACTATAGAGTTTAAATGCCCAGAATCAAAGTGGTCAGGGAAAGAACTAAGCCTAAGTCATCTAAGGGTATTCGGGTGTGCAGCTTATGCACACACTAGTGATGGGAAGTTAGAACCTAGGTCTATAAGGTGTGTATTCCTAGGATACCAAGAAGGGACCAAGGGTTATAGACTGTGGGATAGAGATACACTAGGGGTTAATGTCATTATTAGTAGAGATGTAGTGTTTAATGAGAATGTTTTTCCATGTAAGTCTACTAATAGGGCTGGAACTGATCCAAATGACAATGCCCATAGTCAAAACCAACCAGATGTTATTCCAATTGAGGTGGAGCCAACACCATAGCAAACTGAATCATCTCACCATGGTTTAGAACCCGAACCAGAAGCAGAAATCACTCCACATGACCCTATACAAGCTGAAGATGTAAAAGAGCCCCAATAAGAAGATCTATCCCACTACCAACTGGCAAGGGACATATCTAGAAGGGAAATTAGAACCCCCTACTAGGTTTTCATATGTAGACTTAATCTACACAGCTTTGCTTGCGGTACAGAAGTCCAGAGATTTGAACCAGGAACATATGATGAGGCCATAAGATCCAAAGAGAAAGAGAAATGGAAATCAGCAATGGAGGAGGAGATGTAGTCCCTAAAGGTAAATGGCACATGGTCCTTGGTCCCTAAACCCAAAGACCATAAACTTGTGGAACGCAAATGGCTATTTAAACTCAAAGAAGGTATGTCTCCTACTGATCCCCCTAGGTATAAGACCCATTTAGTGGCTAAAGGTTATACACAGAGGGCAGGTATAGACTTTAATGAGATTTTTTCACCGGTTGTTAAATTTAAAATGATTAGGCTAATGCTTCTTATAGCAGCTCACCATGACTTAGAAGTGGGGCAATTAGATGTCGAAACGACATTCTTACATAGTGAGTTAGAGGAGAAAATTTATATGACTCAACCTATGGGATTCATTGATAATAACTTGCCCAATCATGTTTGTATGTTGCATAAATCACTATATGGCCTTAAACAATTACCTAGGCAATGGTATAAAAGGTTTGACACCTTTTATATTGAGCATTGGTTTCTCTAGGAGTAAATATGATAGCTGTTTTTTACCTTGCTTCCACTGATGATATGCCTATTTACTTGCTTTTATATGTTGATGACATGCTCCTAATTAGTAAGTCTAAATCCAAGATTAGAGAATTGAAATTAAAGCTGAATTCTGAATTTGATATGAAAGATCTAGGGAGTGCTAAGAAAATTCTAGGAATTACAATAGATAGAAATAGAAGTAGCCATGAATTAAGTATTCACCAATTGTCATACCTGAAAAACCTGGTCATGAAGTATGAAATGGCTGATGCTAAACCTGTGAGCATGCCTTTAGCAAACCATTTCATCTCAAGCAAATTACAATGCCCTAAGATTGATATTGAGATAATTAGGATGGAAAATGTACCATATTTTAATATTATAGGGTCTGTAATGTATGTCATAATTAGCACTAGACCTGATTTATCATTTGCAATCTCTTTACTTAGTCAATTTATGTCTAATCCTGGTAGTGAACATTGGGCTACTTTGAAATGGTTGTTGAGATATATAAATGGTTCACTACATGTTAGCTTAAACTATTCAAAAGGAAATAATTCACTTAATCTGGTGGGATTTGTAGACTCTGATTTTGTAGGTGACAGGGACACAAGGAAGTCTACAACATCATACTATTTTACCCTTGGAGGAAATTGTGTTAGTTGGAAGTCTCAATTGCAGCCACTTGTAGCACTGTCCACAACCGAAGCTGAATATGTGGCAGTGATTGATGTCTTCAAAGAGGTGCTATGGCTCCAAGGAATCTTGAAGGAAGCCAAGTTAGTAGACATCATGGCAATTGTGTATTCAGATAGCCAAAGTGCCATCCATTTGAGCAAGAACCCTGTCTACCATGAGAGAACAAAACATGTGGATGTCAGATTCCATTTTGTGAGGGACTTGATCACAAAAGGAGTGATTGAACTCAAGAAGATTCCAACAACCTTGTTGATATGGGCACCAAAGTAGTGACAGCCACAAAATTCAAGCATTGCTTGGATTTGTTGAATATAGCATAAGGAGCCTTGTAGAGCTGAGAAGCATACTGATGAAAGGTTCTCTGCACACCTGGACAATATTCCTTAGCGAGTTCTGACTTCAAGGTGGAGATTGTTGATGGTGAAGCTAGAAACGGTGACGTCTTATGCTTCAACTAATGCACTTATCCAAACGGTGCCGCATTGTTCAACCATCCAAGATCTAAGCCATTAATTCTAAAGCTG